GCAGATCCAAATTACGTGGGTAAAGCTAGTTTCAAGTTGCAGAGCGATATGCATTGAGGGAATTTGTTGAGGCATAGTTTTCAAAACCATAGGGATAGTGAAAAAAATCCTCCATAAAAAATAAAAAACATCGTTGTTTATGACCGCGTTATTGGCCAAAGAACAAATTCAACCATATGAGGGATTTATTTCCATTTATTCAATCCTGATTATCCGAACAACAAAAAGATAGCTTACCAAAAATACATGACCAATACTTAATTTGGAAATAACGAGTCTGAACTCGCAAAAAACAACAAAACCATACTTGAACAGAAAAAGCTCATAGAGCAAAGTGTTGTGTTAAAGAGTGCATAGAGATCAATTCAATACCTTTCTCGAACAGGACTGAACCTTCTTCTATCCCTATCGAAGTCATCTCCGTTGCGCCTCATACCGAATGATCCATACCTGTTTTTTGCAAATCTAACGTAGGCTCACAATTCTCAGTGACGAAAACAAACCTTCTCACCGGTCCTGGTCCAACCCCAGGCATTGTGATTGCCACATCGATGAAGTCTCCAATCTCGAACTTACACATGGAAAGCTAAATGGGGATTGAAGTCAAACTGCGATTACATGTATTTTGAGAATTAGTCTTTGACATCTGCCCACTATGCAGCACATGCGGAAAATTGCGAGAAGAAAAGTCGGAATAGCGAGAACCTTCAGCAAGTCATTTTGGAAAGAAATAACTTTCTGAGATAATTTTCAGCAAGAGCCTGCAGCTACTGCGAGACCGCAGATTCTGCGCAAATCCACTTTGGTTGACCTGTGCGACTCAAAAGCCTGATCGTGCAAACATGTTGATCCCCCCTCCAGATTAAAGGCAGTGGATCGGCCAAAAGGACCCTAATTAAACTTTAGTAGCGTTAGGTAGTACACAACTTATGTACATCGCAGCCCCACCCCCACCCTCCAAGTCCTGAGCTGAGTCCTGAAAATGCGCTTCAAAACTCCACCATTGACGCCCACTCAATGAAAGTAGGCGAGGCTGGTGGAGTTTTGAAGTGCGTTTTCAAGTCTCAGCGCATGAACTGGAGGGTGGGATTGGTGCTATGGTGTAGTTGGGGGGTCTGATACCCAACGCTACCAAAATCCAAAGAGCCCATTTTGCCAATCCACTTTGCCTTTAACCCAACGTCAGAGCCTTACTTATTCTTCCGCTACATCCTCACCATTATGACCAAAAGTGCAAAAACCTATCAATGAAGCTGCGCTGATTGCTACTTGCTACTATGACTACTTACGGAACAATCACTGAGAAAAAAAAACAGATAGGAAAGATATTTTACCGATTTTCCGTCGTCGACGCCCCTCTGGCCATTCATGGTGTTTCCGATGTCGCGGATGGTGTAGCGGTTGTTCATACGATCAGGTGCTACTGCAAATGCAAGTTCGGTTCTCTCATTCAAATAAAGTGGAAGGGAAAGCAACAAAAAAAAGTCGAGAATTGGCACGGCACATCATCTAATCCAGATACGCACGCATTTGTAATTCAGACTTGCAATAGTTCTAGCCCCTCGACAAAGAGGGAAACATATGCGATTTTAGTATCCAACCTATAGCGAAGTCGAAGGTCGTGCCGCGACGTCGCGCGTCTGGGTTCACCTCCTTGATGAGCGAGGTAAGTTCGCGAAGAGTGCAATCCATCCTACAACAACATTATAGCACAC